TGCATTGCATTTCACATAGTCTTGCTTTCCCAAAAGTTGTTCTCATCCCGGATGGAGTGGACTGCAGTTCTGACCTCGCATAGGTCTTATTGGGTGAATTCATCTCATATTACTGATTTACTGGTAGTCACGAAACAATAATTGATTCGAAAAATATAGGATTTTTATTGTTATTACTGATTATAATGGTGATTATGATGCTGTGGATGCTGCTGCTACTGCTGCTGATGATAATGATGACAAAGGTGAAGAGGAAAATGAGTATGTATATACAGAGGAATATAAAGATAAAGATGAAGATGAAGATGAGGATAATGATAATGATGATGGTGATGGTGTTAAGAGGGGGAGTTTGGCTTGGCAGAAACAGCATTCAGTCCGAATAAGAAGGCCTCTCGGGAGACAAGTTAGAGTGAACTTCAATACTATTGTAGATCCTTAGACTAATTGCTTTGCGGGACGAAAAACTGGGCTAAGAAGAGCCAATTAAAATCGAAAAATCTTCTCACTTTGTGGTTTCGGACATTGAAAATCTAGAATTTCCAGCAGCTAAGCACAAATTGGGATTGACTGAGCGTGTGACCGTTTGTAGATAGGAGGGGTAGGCATGAGAAGCAGATTGAGTGCTAGAAGTGAAGCAACATTCACTACGACCTACCACCGGGTAAGGGTAAACCGGTTTCGATTGCTTTCTTGTTGGGCTGGCAACAAATTTAGCCCAAATGAATTGATGTAAATTCCGTCTCGTTCGGCTTTCCCGGTCCCATCGAAAGGTACGCGAGCTAACGCATTGGCCACCCTGTCCACTTAGAGCATCTCGATAAAAATTAGCCATCTGCTACAGTTGAAACAAAAATGGCTACTCGCTAAAATTAAGTAGTATATCAAATTTAGTGAAAACGCTTGATTGCCTGAAAATACGAGTGGATAGCTGCCCGTGAAGCGGTTTGTTGACAAAGTTGGCTCTGTTCGACACCCACGAACCAGCCCAGTCCTACAGCCGATTTAAAGCATAGGCCATGTTAACTCTGGCTAAGGCCGAAAGTGACTTTAGGAGTGAAACAGCTTCGAAAAGAGGGTGATCACGCAAAGGGCAAAAGGACAGGACAGGAGAAGAAATGGATATCTACTCTTTTGATCAGAAATGCGCAAATAGCACTCGCATACGCCTCCCCTACAGCAACGCATTGTGGACGACATGTAAGCTGACAACACATGCAATGAAAGATGAACTCTCATTTTCTGGCTGGGCGCTTAAAGTTAGGTAGAAACAAACAGTTGGATTTCCTACAGTCAAATGAGTTGACTTTTAGGCTCACTCAGTCTTGGCTCCCAAAACGGTTTTCTCGTCCACACTAAACGACATTATAGACCTATTCTCAAGCCAGACCGCTCTCAATTCACACATGTGGTGGGAGTTTTGATAAGGCAAACGAGTATTTTTCTTTTAAATCGTCGACGTCGCTTACATACATGCTGGCGAGAAGTCTGTAAAGTTGAAGCTTCACTCCAATTTGAATGAAAATACAATGCATGTTGAGCTTACTTCCATTTCGAGTGAAAGTGTTGAGTGAAGAGACTCGAATGTCGCTTCCATCAGCAGACGACGGTGGATTCCTCTTGACCAGCTGTCGATTGGCTTTACTGAAAGATTCATGCTGACGCTGTTTTTTGAGGTGATCTCCTTCGATTCCGGTGAAAAGGTGATAGGCTTTCGTCCGTCATATGACGAACATCTTTAGAGCAAGGTATCATAGTCACAAAAAACTATCGTTAGCTTGAATTTTGTTGTGAAGATGTTACCTCGCTCTGATGATGTTCATCATATGACGGACGAAAGTTTAGCACCTTTTCACCGGAATCGAAGGAGATTATCTCCAAAAACAGCGTCAGCATGAATCTTCCAGTAAAGCCAATCACAGCTGGTCAAGAGGAATCCGCCATATTCCTTTGGTGGAACCGACCTTAGAATCTCTTCACGCAACACTTTCACTCGAAATGGAAGTAAGCTCAACAATTAT